ATTATTATTATTATTATAAGGTTGCTGCTGGAAGAGGTGTTAGTGGGGCCAGCAGGGGGCTCTCACCCTGCGGTCCATGTGGGTCCTAATGCCCCATTATAGTGACGGGGACACTATACTGTAAACAGGCGCAATTCTTCGGATGAGACGTAAAACTAAGGTCCTGACTCTCTGTGGTCATTAAAAATCCACAATCCAAAAGCGCTATATAAGTGTAAGCAAATATTATTATTATTATCAACAAACTGATTTAAAAGAATTCCTCGTTTAATTACTTCAATGCAGGAAATTCCCCCAGTAACGTACTTTGTAATACATCAGAAAATTAATCGATATATAACCTTACAACTATAAAAAAAAACTTGCCAAGAGCAAGTTAGAGAAGGTGAATCTCTAATATCCTTGGGCAAAGAGTTCCAGAGCTTGGGGGCATAGCAGGAGAAGGCCCTGTCGCCCATACAATGTAGACGGGCTTGGGGGACAATTTTATGGTAAGCGCAAAGTCGAATTTCATGTATTTATGTATTTTTTCCAATCTAAATTTACTGTATATGTCTGAAAGTGTTGTAGTAAATAAAATGAGGATCCTTGCAAAGTACAAAAGACTTCCAATTGCTTTTAAAAAGCAAGACTGTGAATCAAAATTTAAATTACATATAGCGCACAAACATCAAACCACAGCGGTATCTCGTCATTGTTCCAATTTAGCTATTATTTATATTTGAATTATATGTATTTATTAAGATTGTATGCCTCATATAGTCAGAACTTTTCCTTACAAAAGTAAAATTACTATAGATTAATGCCGCTTAATCACTAGAATTTGCATTTAAAAACAGCAGAAAGCAATCTGTTTACCACTTCCCAGAATTAATCCAGTATCTCTTAGATAAACCAACACAAGTAAAGAAAAATAATTTACGATACTGTACTTTTAAAGTTTTATCAAAGAAAACGAAAACGAACATCAAGCCAGAGTCATGAGCAGTTCTTCGTCCAAAGACATGATTTTCTCTTTCTTCGATGCAAAAAAACAAGAAAATCAGTAACGGTCGATTTAGGCAATATTCCCACTTAATTTATTATCAGTCAGCAGGTGTCACTGTATACTCGCGCTCTCTGTCCACGGTGCTGAAACTTTCAGCAATGTTACAGAATGTTTTGTCAAATTCCACTCGGTCAGGGTTAGTGTCACTTGTAGCCGTTACAACTTACTTTTTTTACCCCTTTATACAGATTGCTGGTTGATGCGTGGTTGGGATAGCCAGATTATTTTTTTCAGCCTTAATACTACACGAATATGTTTAAATAATTATGAAAAAAAATATTACTACATCAATGTTATGCGCAAAAGGTTTTCTTTCATGTAGCAGTGGTACTCATGGGGATATGAAGCCATTCTCTTTTGTTAAACATTTAATTAACGCTCGGCTTGGCAAAAATAACCAAATTATTTCTCAAACGAATCCATTAAATAAAGAGAATTGAAAAAAAATGTTATACAAACTTTCCCTCCTGTTTAGCACTCCCTCTTTGGAGAATGGACATTTTTCAAATGTTCTGTGCGTCATAGACCACTGGCTGAAATGCTAGTATAAATATTTTAAGTCCTCGTTTAAACATAATGTTCAAATATTTCCTAAAATCACTATCGTCCATTCCCTAAAACAATTCAATTACCTACATTTAGTAAAATGCATTATTAGACAATACATATACTTTTATTCCTTAGTTATGAATGTATTTTACCTCGAGATCCTTTTTGAAATAATTATTCATAATGTGTTTTTCTCCAACACGTAATTAGGATATATTCTTACCTTTTACCGTCATCGCTAGGAATCGGAAAATAATCTGAAAAATGACATTTACATTTTAGTTTTATGGAAAAATAAACTCCTACCTGATTGCCGTTTTTTTTGCGATTGTATTGATTTACAGTGATTCAAGTTATTAAAGATAAAGCGAGCCGATACTATTATCTGCCATATAGTACATACTGAGTCGATCAGTTCATCAATCGATGTAGCCATAAACCGGAAAGGATGTTCATAAATGGTCATTACAGTCCACAGAAAATCGTGTTATACAGTATGTAGATGTATCGTTGCAGTATCCAGATAGGCGGCAGACATCGACATAGCACTCTTCCTCTCATAGTTTGGAGAGCAGAGTTTGTTTTCCACGTGGTTCTTGACGCTGGGCACAGAGCAGTACTGAATTGGAGGCTGAGACTATAAAAGAACACACAGCTAGAAGGCACCGACTAGGAAATCCGGCGGCTCCACTGACAAAACAAGGTAACAGGATTATTGTGTTGTTATATTTGTAGGTGGAACAGCTAAAACGTGGACAATTTTGCCGAAAAAACCTTAACAGCACAATGGCCACTTCTGTATAATATTGTGAAGAGACTAATATATCTTGATGTGCCCACGAAGACCCACGGGGATTTACCTGTCATAAACTGTTTGCGCCATGCAAGACCAAAATAAGTTACATACAAGCAACTGTATAGAAAGGTTTTCAGCGGAAATTTATATATGACACAGCCCTCATCACCCAAGGTAAGAACTCTTTTTTTCTTACTAAAAAGGGTTGTCGGGACTTATATAAACTACCAGTTGTAATGTTGTCAATACAAACAAGAAGGAAAAAGTTTACTGCTTAAGACTACTGCGTTGCTTCACGCAGACCTACAAGCCCTTACTTTTTATTTGCAATTTTTCCCGAAGAAGAACTAACTTTTTTCACGGACTATCCTAATGTACTGTAACAAAAAAAGGGGCTGATTCGTGTTTGCGGAAGACGGATACCTTTTGAAGTGGAAAAAAAAAGTATGGGAAAAAATATCAACAAAAATCGCCACTGACTGCCAATAGGCTGAAAGAAAGGGAAAAACCTATTGGTAATGCACACTTTTTAAATGCCCCCTTCGAAAGGTTAATTGGGGTCCATTTGATGTTCAACACAGAAAGTCCACTCCTGGATATCGAGGCGAGGTCTCCAATGGGGTGCCACAACGTGACAAACGAAACTTTGCCAACAGGCCTTCCCTACACCATCCAGATCACGGTGTCCCTTACAATACTTGTGGGGATCCTCATCCTCCTAACATTGTTCGGTAACGTCCTAGTTGTCATAGCAGTGTTTACAAGTCGGGCCTTGAAAGCGCCCCAGAACTTGTTCTTGGTCTCATTAGCATCTGCTGACATCCTGGTGGCCACTCTGGTCATGCCCTTCTCCCTGGCCAATGAACTCATGGGCTACTGGTACTTTGGTAAAGCCTGGTGCGAGATCTATCTTGCCTTGGATGTTTTGTTTTGCACTTCTTCAATCGTCCATCTTTGCGCCATAAGTCTGGACAGGTACTGGTCCATCACCCAAGCCATCGAGTACAACCTCAAAAGAACTCCCCGACGGATCAAATGTATCATCTTTATTGTGTGGGTGATTTCGGCAGTCATATCCTTCCCACCTTTGATCTCAATAGAAAAGAAGGGTGGAAAGGAGAGTCCGACGTGCAAAATCAACGATGAGAAATGGTACATCATCTCTTCGAGCATAGGCTCCTTTTTTGCTCCGTGCATCATTATGATTCTCGTTTACATTAGAATATACCAGATTGCCAAGAAGAGAACGCGGATCCCTCCGGGGAAAAGACACAAAGACGAGGCAGATAAGAAGCAGAACGGCTTTATGGACAAGGACTGCCCCGAGAAACTAAACGGGGAAAAAGGTCGCAATGAGGAGGACGGGGCTGGAGAAGGCGATATCAACGGGGAGGACGTGGAGGACTCTTCTTCTTCGGATCACAACGTAAACAACCCGTGTTCTATTAAGAAAAAGAACAAGAATCGGGGGAAGGGCAAAACGAAACTAAGCCAGATCAAACCCGGGGATAGCATTCCTAAAAAAGAAGATGAGCGTAATGCAAAGAGCTCCAGATGGAAGGGACGCCAAAACCGAGAAAAACGATTCACTTTCGTACTGGCTGTAGTAATCGGAGTTTTTGTTATCTGTTGGTTTCCCTTCTTCTTTACTTATACCCTGACTGCCATCTGCGACACTTGCTGCGTCCCCGAGACACTATTTAAATTTTTCTTTTGGTTCGGGTACTGCAACAGCTCCCTAAATCCCGTTATATATACCATATTCAATCACGACTTCAGGAGGTCTTTTAAGAAAATCCTCTGTAAAGGTGAACGGAAACGAATTGTTTAAAACGTTAAACACGGACAGATGAACCTTTTGCAGACTCAAAAATCATACAGCTTATTGTGCAGCGTTCCGTGGTTTCAAGCTTGTAACTACAATGAACGTCTATTTCAATGTAAAAAACCCCCGCTTTTTTGTAAAGAGCAAGCCACTTTTAAAGAATGGGATTTTTTCTTTTGTTTTGCCAAAGGCTAAATGTACAGTAAGTATTGCAATGTTAGATATTTTCAATATTTGTCTATACTGAGTAAATTTGAAAGCAGGAGTGTTTTGTGTCAAAAAAGATGTGTGAAAAATAAAACTCAAAAATCTTGCCCCACTGTCATCCTGCTTTTAAGTTATGGACAAAACCATCTGATGTGTACTTTTTCCTTGCACAACTATTTTTAACAATAAAAATAGCGTGGAATTTACAAATGCTTTCTAATGGATATGATCTGATTAAATCTCGTGAACATATTTGAATAATAGCAGTAGAAAAGAACATACTTTCCTATGAGTACTTCTGTTCCTATTCACTTTTAAAAATCATTAAAGGCATAATCCAGGGGATCAAGAAGATGTTTATATTATCTTGGCTACACAGTGAGAAATTAGGCAAGTCTGGAATTAATAAAAGTCTAAAAAATAAAACTGAGTTAAAGCTATAGCTTTACGTTTTTACGTTTTATAGCTTCACTCCACACCTGAAGAAGGCTCCACGGCCGAAACGTTGTGTTCTCTTTCTTCTTTTTTTCAGCATGGAATAAACCTATTACTTGTTCTGCTATAGCTTTACTACTGCTGCCAAATGTGAACAGTGATGTCACCTGCATTGCTGGACTGTACGTTGTAGTTCTGAAAACCACGAAGATCACTTTATTTGGCAAATCATCATTGTTGATTTTCTGTCAGGAATAATGTATGATATGATATTCAAAGGCAATCTTAGTTTCCTACAAAGTAGAGAAAATTAAAGTTAATAAATGGATGCATACACAGCTTACAGTTAGAACATACATACACCATATGTTAATGTTTACAGGAAATTATGGAAAAGAATATGGTTTTATGGGTAATTGCAATTTAACGTATGGCTCTTCCTGTAATTTAAGCTGATTCCACACAGAAGAGTCACTCAGCTGTTAGTCTTTAAAAATTAACAAATACAAATACAGTTTAATGTCCCTAGCTATTTTAAAGCGTTGCTTAGTATGGGCCAGAGTAGAGATCAATATGATATGTATAGGTCTTCTTCATCTGGTGGTGCAAGAAGGATCCAATAATCAGCTTTTAAGCTTTAATTCTAATGTAGTAACTTCAACTACAGCAGACAGGAGCTGAATTCTAAAATCAAATAATCTTAAAATCACTCAGCAGGAGCAACCACAAAATCTCTCCTTAACTCATTAAAAAAAATGATTATTAATGTTTAATTATTGGGGTTGTCTTAGCCTAATGCATCAGAGACTGGTACGTGAGTGTGATGATTAGCATAGATGCCAAACTTGGGTTTGATTCGACCTGAGGTACCTTTTGTATGGAGTTTGCATGTTCTTTCGTGGGCCATATGGATTTTTTTGTCATGTGATCTTGTATCCCCCCCAGAGTCCAAACATACTGTACCTTAGTCTAAGTAAATTGGTGTCTCTTAATTGTGCCTCCTCAACTCTGTATCTGCCCTGTGATGGACTGGTGGTTTCTAGCCATGGTTTTCCAGAACAGGTTGGGTGTGAATTGGAATTGGACTCAGTGGTTATTGAAAATCGAAGCATGGTGCATCAAGCAAGGTAGCAGTTTGAAATCTTGATCTGCTTGTATCACTGTGAAATGAAAAGTGAATATCTTTCATAAATCACTCCTGCTTTAACCATTTTTACATGTGACCATAGCCGTATACGCACCAACCACAACTCACTGAGCGATCGGGTCTGAAAATTATTTTCTTTGTTCAGAGAACACGGTGCTGTAATTTCAGAGGCTAGCATTGAATTGCAGCAGTGGAACAAAAAATCCTGAAGTACACAAATCATTTGAAAGCTGACTTCAAATGCCAAAAATTTCAGTTTTTCTTCTTTTTAACTTGTGCTGTGTTTACAAAAAAGTTAAACTCATGAGATTTTATCTGTTCTTCCCAGCGAATCACTTTCTTGGTGTTTGTCATTTTGAAATGATTTGTTTAAAATTAATAATAAAAGACTTCAAAACAAATAAAAACAGAAAGTACAGGAACGCTAGACACAAAGGACCCTTTTAACCTCTGTGTTTCCCAGTCTGTGTTTTATGTCTTTATTGTTGTTCACCACTATGAAATTTGATACATTTTTAAGTCGCCTTATCCACAATGCAAGCAGTACTATTAGTCCCACATCTGAATTCCAAGTTACTTTTCCTGTAGACACTTTAGTTTTGTATTGTGGGTTCAATTTGTAATTCTGCTGTATTAACATCTTTTTACAGTTCCCATATTTTAACACTGCTCGCATTTGCTTTACAATGTTTTTACTGTGATTGAATAAAGCTCTTTTCCTCTCACTGTACTTTGCTGCAATTTACTTACGTTGAGGAAAACACTTGTCACCGTGTCAGGAACAGAAAACTGTTACTAAAATTAGGTTTAAGACTTAATTTAAGTAACAATTACAGACCTAAATACAATCACCCTCCATCCTGATTCGTTTAATTCACTTCAGCATCTACCTTTCACTACAACGAGTGGGTGTTCAGTAAACTTTGAAGGATTATCATGACAAAAGTAATATAATCTTATATATTTTGTTAGGTATTAAAGTAATACAGTATATAGTCAATACCTTGTTTCAAATCAACAGTACTCTAGACGTTCATGAATACAGCATATATTTTTTACTCTTACCATCCTAAACCACCTTTTACATATTTAAAGTCACTGCTATTCCTATACACACCATATCTATGGATAAATGTTCATGGTGCATTAGAAGGTGAATATAATTAGCATGGAGAGTCTTAGGCAATGCATTTAAACAAGCACCTTGTAAGAGTGAAGTGCAGAAACCCAGAGGAGCTGTTACTCAATGTACGGCTGATGAGCTCAAGAGAGTGAAGTGCTGTATGCCAATTTAGAGAGCTCATTTTCGTCACGGAAGCCTTTGTTCATTGAATTGTATTTTTTCCCTCTACTGATGCATTTGCGGTTTATATACATTTAGGATTGTTTAGGAAGCCGGTAGTATAGTAGTTATGAAGTACTTGTTACAGTGATCATCCACGGTTTGTAGCTTTTTTTTCCCCCGAACAAATCACAAACCCACTACATTCAAAAGTAACAGGTTTCATTTTTTCACATTTGCGAAGTTAGTGAATTTCAGGATGATGTCGTTAAAATCCCCTAACATATAAGTCTGGATGCTTTAAAGTCAGTCTGTCACTTGTACATTGGTGCCTATGAGACAATTAATCAATTCTGTATGTGTGTATGTCCTTCCGTGTTCTTGTGGGTTCTTACTGGGTGCTTCCTGTCCAGGGTGTACCCTGCCTTGCGCCTATTGCCTGCTGTTTAGAAAATGAATGGATTACTCACACAGCCGTCCCTTTTTTCCACTGTTTGATCTTTCCGGCTTTAATTATAGCAATAGTCCACAAGTTGCAATAGGATGAGCAGGTTGTATTCAATAAATGGTCATAAATCTTAATGGCACTCCTGATGCTCTGCTATGGAAATAGATGAAAGATGATTACATGATCACATGAACAGTTCTGACACCACAGTAGTAGTGGCTTTATGTATATTCTGTAGCTTTTATGCTAATTCTTTGGTTAGGAGATATAAATAAGTAACCATTAAAATAACAACAACCCCAAAACAAATCCCTAATGATAGTAAGAAGACATACAGTTCTTGCGTTTTTTACTTCAGTATGTACTGTTTGTTATATGCTTCAATACTATATCTACTGGACCTAAATTCAAACAATAACTAACAGTAATAACTATAAGAAAAAGCCAAATAAATACATTTGTTAAACCAAGGATGTTTCAGAAAGTAGGTTGTAATCTGTGGAACTAAAGCCTTGTAATTTTGTGATGTTCCTTGATTTTAAAAAGGGGAATTCAAATATCTTTTTAATATAAAACCTATTTTACCAATAGTACAAACATAAATATTCAATGAATGTCTTTATTTCCAAATGCTGCGGTTAAGACACAGGATGTGTCATAATTAGAATGATTGTGTATTAATCAATGCTCTATTCTGAACCTTCTTATGCCTTAAGAGGAATTGCCACAGCTGCTGCAGTGTGTACAATGAAATATTGAAAATCCTTTTGCATTCTGTATGTGCCCTGCAAAAACAATAACAAGGGTTCACATAAACATAAGACATCTTAAAAGTGTCTAAATCTAAATAGAAATTAATTATAAATGTGGCTAAATAGTTGAATGTCTTGTAGGAAAAACTGAAATGTAAAGATATGTAATAGAACCAAGTGAATAGGCCAACTATTTATTTATGACATTATGTTTTCTGATCCTGGATTAGTACTGTCCAATGTCAAGCTAAAGTTACATGTGAAAAATATTTAAACTTCATGCACCTGTAGGGAAAATAGACCCGCAGAAACAGATTGTCCCTGGTCTCGAAAAAGGTAAAAATATATTGTTTTTCTTCCCTTTTCAGCATGGAATAAACCTTTACTTGTTCCTTTACATGTATATATATATAGTATGAGCCTACTGTGTCTTGTGAGTTATTTGATTTTTCATTTTGGTATGTCAGTTTCAAGGTGATATGTTAATTACAAAGGTAAGATCTCAGGTAAACTATTACAAATTAGTGGAAAATTATGATTTTCCATTGCCTTTTCAATTTTGTTTATTCAAAACCTGCCTTATTTCTAAGCCCTATTATCATGAATTGCATAAGATTTGGTGGTTATTTTCCACACAGAATCTTCTCTTAAAGTTTCTATCAATAGTCAAACAGTGTGCTGCTCTGTAATTTAAACAATGTAGAAATAAATGAAAAGTGAATCAGAAAATTAAGTCAATGAAAAGAACCAGAAATTAAAAGATAGAAGTAACTGATAGAAGTAAAAACTAGTGGCCACAATAAAACTCAAATGGTTTAAGATATAAAAACATGACTAACTACTGACTGTAGAATGCTGAAGAATATTGATCTAATACTGTATATGCAGGAAATTGTATTTTTAAATATAACAATTCTTTTTTTTTGTTTATTGAAAAAGAGAATAAGATTTAGAGATACAGTATAATGAATGTGCATGATGCTAAGTAAAATAAATGTACAAAGCTTAATGCAGTGTGTGGTGAAAATGTTGTAACATCTTTATTTTAATGTCTAAAATAAGACCCATATAATGTCTATTTGTCTGGTACAGCATGCTAACAAATTACTAGCTCAACTGACATATCTCTGTCCATTCCCAATAATGAATGTGTAACTACAGCAGCATTATTTGTAAATTGTAATAATTAGCTTCAGCATATTTGCTTTGACACCTTTGGGATTGCAGTTCAATTTTACTGGGTCTTTAAACAAAAGGACAGGGCTCTTTGTCCACACTCTAATTTTTTGCTCACCTCTGTGACAGCTGTAAATGTGTCACCTGGTATCCCAAGATGTCTTCTCAACTCGCAAGACAGAAACTCTTGTTCTTACCTTTGGCACAGTACAGGCACGGTGGATCATCAAGTCCTCTGAATTTCTATGTTCCCCTGTGAGTTTCAGTTCAGTTTCCTTTTTGTTAGTTTGAAGTCTCATATGGAATGTAGTATTTCAATATAGTAGAATTTATTCCTCACCTGTATCACAATATATAAGATGTATTTTAGAAAGCCTAATGCTGATTTTCATTTGCAAGGCTGTACTGGGGCCATGGAAGTCTTAGGAAAAACTGTAGATATTCAGTATAATGTAGGAAAATCACTCACCCTGTTCTTTACATACATGCATTTTCAGGAATAACAGATATTGCAATAGGAGAAAAAAAGTTTATTTGTATGTCATGTATGTTTCAGATTATTTCTCCTCACGGCAAATATTGATGAAAATATTCTAATATTTTAATAACATAATTGCTTTCTGGATTGCTTTCAGCATAAGTGCTACTGGAAGTGATAGTGGGTGTTAATATTGCCTATGGCCAGCTTATCATTTGATGAAACAGCATTGTCAGTGACTACTAGAGCATCTGAGCCTTTTCTTCAGTTAGTAGTTTCTGTCCAGGTTCTGAGGGGTGTGCAGCCGCACAACAGATACCAGCCTCTGACAGGTGTGGGTGACCGTGTCTGTTAGATGTTTTTTTTTAACTGTTCCCAACTTAGCAGGTATGTAATGACCTACAGTTGCTGATTCAAAATCAAAATAAACAACCACAGAATTGTACATTTGAGATCCATAAACAGTTATAAAATACAGTTATACTTTTATACTGTTTCAGTGCAGCAAAATGCCTTTTATAAAATGATAACAATTCATACATTTTTTATTTCACTAGATGGGGTGGAGGTGGGATGCAAGAGATATGCAAAAGAGAGAGATGGGGATCTCGTAGGCATTTATAGAGTCTGGGAAAGGAAAGAATGTCAGGAGCGATTGGGAATTACTGACAGCTGAGTCTGATTGAATTTGGTTGTTGTCATCCCTCCCGAACTTTTGTTATAAACTCCATAAAAATATTATCAATTTAGACCATGCCTAAGTAACTGAAAATCTGGAAATATTTATAGGTGGAATTTCTAAGCATCCCTCGCAACATGGTTAAATTATTTTCCACATTACATCCTGAAATGAGCAACTGTATCCATGTTTATAATGCCTTTAAACTGTCTCCATCTACTGTTTTTTATATACTGTAACTGCATTAAATATGAATGTGATTAGCGCAAAGAGCTACTAAGTTGTTTACACATCACATAAAATATTTGGATTTCTGTATAAAAATGTATTCACAGAAAAGCAATTATCATACACCACCAATTTCTTAATTATGCACATACCAGTATTTAATTCTTGTTTTTATTTGCATTTCCTCTCCAAAATTTTAATCTGAATTTAATACTGAATAACAGGCTTCTGCCATGAGGAGTTTCCAGCACTTGCATTCAAAAAATCTGCAAAGTGAGTGGAAGTTTCGAGAGTTCACAGTAATTGAGGATAAAGAGGATGAACGATTCTCAGTAAGGGCACATTTAACAGTGAGAATAAATGGCAACAGCAGAAGAAATGTAGGACACCTGCAGAAATCGTGTGGGGTTCTAAGACCAAAACCCTCAGGGATTTCTGCAAGTACATAAC